ATGGGAATAAATCTAGATATGCGATGCTCACAAACCTTTATTCTTTTATATGAAGTAATTTCTCCAAAACAGTACGAGTTATTTCTGCTTCCTGTCTGTTCGGCACGTAATTCCCACCAGTGTGAAAATCTATCAAGTTTTTATTATTATTATTATTTTGAATTCTATGAATCGACAGATATTATTCATTCACAATATTCCCCATTTTTAAATAAAAATGAAAAATTCGTTCGGGTTATTAATTCAAACTTCTGTAGAAGGAAAGGATAACTAGAACATTGAAAATGACGGGTTGTCGTTTCTGGAGGTTCATTCACATTTTAAAAATAACGCTTCACTCTATGATTTAAGTTATTTTTTCCCCCGCTTTATTACGCTTACATACGTGCGTGTTATTTGATGCACTATTTATGCACGCATGCGCGCGTGTATTTAAATGTTTGTGCGTAAATTACACGTGTTGAGAAGAGACGATGAGCAGAGAGAGTTTGAGTTTAGAAAAAAAAATAGAAAAGGAACGCAGAATATTTTCGTTCACTTGCTCAAAATTGATCTCGCTCGAAATTTGCTTAGCGTACAAACTGTCATACACAGACGGGTAAGAAGCCGATCAAAGCTGACGCGGTAAAAATTTCGCTTCATTTCTCTGTCAAAGGCAGATCTGAAGTGGAATTGTAAGGCAGACGATCATGGTTTGTTCGTCTGGTGCGAATAAAAGCCCAGACTTTCTCGAAATAAAGATATAATAGGGGTGCATAGGAGGGGCGGGTAACGACACGGATTACGGTGCGGAATTCCAGTTCCGGTCTAGTGTTTTGAGCTGACTTTCTTTCGTATTAATGCCTTTGGAAGAGACACAAAACCATCTCTTTCCTCCGTCCAGCTATGGGCCAAAAAGCAGAGTAAAGTAAGGTTTGGGTGGAATCTAAGAATCAGTCTAAGAGTAGGACGACTCCGAATTAAAAAAAATAAATAAATAAAAAGCCGTGGAAAGGAAACTGGGAAACTACTTCACAATCTTTCCTAAGCAATCATGGTAATTTGCAGATAATGAAGACTGTAAATAGACATTATCGCCTATGTCCTGAATGCACGGGACATTTAATAATAATAATAATAATAATTAGAAGAAGAAGAAGAGAAAACAAAAAAAAAATGAGAAAAGGAAAGGTCCAATAATGACGGGAAAGTTTATATATATAGGTTTATATATAGGTTTATATAAAGGTTTATATATATAAAAAAATTATATATGCATATATACATAAAGATTTATATAGACATATATATATATCAAGAAGCGAGAGCAAGATCTAAAAGGTCAGCCAATCTAACAGTGATCTCACCTCACAATCCTCACACTTGCTCCATATGTAAACTCCTTTGTAAATCACTTAAGGGTCTTGAATACCACTTAAGATTATCACTATAAACTTTCATAACTGAATCAATATGCAGTCAGATCCTCATAGGTCAGAAACCGACGGGAGAGTCCATTATATATATATATATATATATATATATATATATATATATATATATATATATATATATATACTCCTGACCACTGCCTCGTGCTTTTCCTCTGGCTGAAACATTGAAATGGCTACATTATGTATTAGTTTACTGATTTTTTTTTTTATTTTATACCAGGGTTGAATAAGGCTGACGATTTTTTTGTCGGTTGAAAAAAAAAAAATAATTCCCCACATGATGTAATTATGGATTTTAACATGTAGCGATTATTTGCTCTGTAATAATGAACACACTGAGCATTTTCTGGATCAGTTTTAATTTAATTCATATAATTATATTGAAGTTTTCGGCTCTTGTTTTGAAACATGAGAACTCTTATGTAGTGTGTTGGAATCATATTTTTAAATAAATAATTATATTTATGCTCTACTTTTGTATCGAGTACTATTTTTAAAAATAATAACAAAATTACTAAAGAACTTTGGATTATTTACCTAACGGGTTCTTTCCTATATATTTTTACACACACACACACACACACACACATATATATATATATATATATATGCGAATATCATTGTGTCACATTTTTTCAACTTTACTCCTAGAGGCCGTAGCCCAACATATATCATTTTTGAAATAGGTCTACTCTGTAAGCAAATTAAAAATATTCCTGATCGCATCCCAAAAAATTTGATTCCCAAACTGGCATTACTGCGATTGTTTTCACTGATTTTTCCGAAGATATTTTTTATACGATAACAATTTTTATAACTTGGAAATAAATTTCGGAATAATCGAAATTAAGTGCGAAATCCTTAAAAAAGACACCCATGAAATAAAAATAACTGTCTGTATGGAAAGTAGTGACCTACGTACACCAACTTAAGAAGAAGAGCCCTCTGCAGGAGCTAGCTTAAAGGCCGCTCGATTGGGCGGCTTTTAAGCTAGTATCTATCTATCTATCTATCTATCTATCTATCTATCTATCTCCTGAGGAGACGCACAATGCAATTGCGTAGCGATTTTTACATGTTGTTTTAATATCCTAAAATAAATTATATATGTATCTTCCATTTTCTCTCTCACTTTCTCTCTTTACACACGCACACACACACAGACAGATACAAACACACATGTGTATATATATATATATATATATATATATATTATTTTCGGACATCAATCCTTCTTTTATGCAAGGTTCATTGAAAACGAATTTAATTTTCAGGATACAAGTTATATAAAAATTGTCCTAACGTTTTCCAATCGCTTTCGGCTCTACGTTTACCCATTATCAAATATGAATTTATTTTACTTTTAATTGAATATATGCATTGTTTCATGTATGTATCTAGAATTATAGGAAAGTTTTATTTTGTCACCGTGTTCATAGTTGATATTATTGAGTGTTGGCTTTTTATTTTTTATTAATATTTCTTCCGTTATTATTATTAGCCATTTTGTTCATGTGGATGATGCTAGTATATCATTATTATCAAGAAGTATGTTACGGATAGAGATTGGTATGTCTCCATATGTATTTAAGTGAGACCTCATCGAGATATGGTCATGTTGTAGTATATCCAACATAATTATTTTGAAATTTGTATTGGTCAGGAAAACTTGAGGGACATGTAAACGGACAAAAGTAAAAAAAAAAAAAAAAATCAGGGACAAAATACAAAAGTAAAAGACAATAAATCATACTTGATATTGGCTAAAAGTATAGCCGAAAGCGCTTCGAAAACATTTTGAAAATTTTTTATATAATTTATGTCCTGAAAAGAAAATAATTATATGAAAAAATGAGAAATTATATAAAAAAAACTCAACCACGACACTTAGTCATTTTCAGCAAACGTGCATATATATATATATATATATATATATATATATATATATATATATATATATATATGTATATATATATATGTGTGTGTGTGTGTGTGTGTGTGTATGTGTGTGTGGCTATGTATATGAGTATGTATGTGTGAGAGAGAGAGAGGGGGTGTAAAGAAAAGGAAATATCACAAAAACGAAAGTGAGAAAGAAGAAAAGAAAATGGGAAAGAAGAAAAAGAAGAAAAGGAATGGAAATTGGGGAGAAATAAAATGAAAATGAAAAGAAAGAAGCGAAGTGTTGAAAAAGAAGGATAGGTAAGAAAAGGACGTGCAAAACCGATATGAAGGAGAGAAAGAAGTTAAAGATAAAATGTAAGAGGAACCATAAAAAGTGAAGAAAAAGAGAAAAAGAAAAGAAAAAGAAAAGATAAAATAGGCGGAAAATGAGATCTGATGAAAAAGAGATGAAAAAGACTATCGAAAAGGTAAAATAAAGAAACAGAGGAGAAAAGGTGAAACAAAAGAAGGACACGACTTAAAAAAGACATAACAAAGAAAATAAATAAAAAAAAGGGAAGATGAAAAAGAAGTTATAGAAAATAAAAGAAATAAAGAAGGATAAATAATAAGAAGAAAAAAACGAAAGTAAAATAAAGAAAATACTAAGAAAAATCTTAAAACTGAGATATGATCATCTCAAAGGGAAAAAAAATTAATTGTAAGGAGTGACGAAGCAAAGAAAAATGTGAAATCTATCCGATAACGACTCTGATAAATAATTATGGGCTTAAGAATATATTCACGAAAGACAGAGAAAGAAAGCAAAAATAAATAAAGGGCAAATATAAAGCTACAACGATCGTTGTCAACAATTAAGCTGCATAACTCATGTATGGATCTTGCAGGTTGTTGCCTGGAAAGGTAACAGGTACGGGCGATGCGTCAACGATTCTTCCCAAATGAGTCAGCCGCCATCTTGTTTTCTAAGCCTTTTTTTTTCCCGCCAAAGGAATATCGTGAGTTGAGCAAGGAACACCATTACAGTGCCAATTACGTACAACAATAACGTAACGAGGTCAACGGATTCAGCCGCGGGAGGAGGGGGGGGGGAGAAAAAAAAAAAAAAAAAAAAAGGATCAGTTAAAAAAAAGAAGAAAATAAAATGAGTCGCGAGCGTAGGAGAAAAAAGATAAATGAATTTAAAAAAAAAAGAGAGAACAAGAAGGAGGGAGCGTTTAACAAAGACATATAATTGAAGAAGCTTTCCTCACAACAATATCATATATATATATATATATATATATATATATATATATATATATGTGTGTGTGTGTGTGTGTGTGTGTGTGTGTGCGAGTGTGTGTGCAAGTACGTGCGGGGGAGGTTATTGTTAATGAACTTATGTGATATCTGTTGATATGACGTCGCCGACAGCAGTGAAGTAGACGTTCGTAGGGAAGGAACAGTAAGGTGGGAATCCGTAAATAAAAAGTAAACAAAAATAACTGAAAGAAAATGTTCACAGATATTTGTGAAGGAATTCGAACTGTCTGACTATATTTTGGGAGAGACAGAAATATTAGTATTGATATATATACGTTTATGTAGAATAAAGAGAGAGAGAGAGAAAGAGACAGAGAGAGAGATGCGCCAACGACTTAGGGGTAGAATCTCCGACTGACGCCAATTCAACAGGGTTTCTATCCAAGCTAGAGGCAACCGGACGTCTATCCACATTGATGAGCTGTGATACAACGAAACAGTCTGTCTGTGGATGACAATATATATGCTCCTGAAAATTTTATTTCGGTTGAGCTCTCTGGGGAGGAAGTGTGAGTTTGTAAACAGTGACTATTACTGCAAGACTCTTCGGTAAAGCGAATCGAGTTCTTTCAGTCACTGCGTGTTTATTTAAAAATAAATACGCTTAAATTCACCTTCATCCCTGCCTGACGCCAATTCAGCCGGGTTTCTAAACCTAGCTAGAGTCAACCAGACGTCTATCCACACTGAACTGATGCGATACGGCAAAACAATCTGTCTGTGGATAACAATATATATATATATATATATATATATATATATATATATATATTGATAGAGAGAGAAAGAGAAAAATAGATAGAAAGAGGGAGAGGCTGAGAGATAGATATTGTGTGCATTTAGGAAGGAAAGGCTGAAAAAAAATTGTCAGCGTCTCACTTTCGTTCGTGCGCATGTGTACTCGCACTAACGCAACCAAAAACTTAGTCTGAAGAAGTCCAAAAGGGACGAAACGCGTCACACAAAAACTTTTCCAATTTGTCCTACATATTTCCACTAAAATTTTCTTGATATATAAAAAATATGTATCATTATCTCACACACACACACAAGCACACAAACACACACACACACACACTTTTGCATTATTTAAACGTTTTTTAAGTGGATGCCCATATTTTAATATATGTTGTACAGTTATTATGCAGTATCTTTATTTATTTTCCCCGACCAGCCTCAATCTTCGAGAAATTATATTAGAAAAATACACGCCCTCTTGCAGGATTGGAACATACCTTCATCTAGTAAAAACCGCCAATAGTTCTGGTGTGCTTTGACCTTTCGGCTACAGAGAATGGCCAAGCAAAACCCGAACATTGCCTTCAATCACAGATCTTTTGATTCTTGAAATATGAAATCTACATCTCTGCTCAGTTTCGTATATCTAAATGTTTGACAAATGGTACTTCTTGTCTGAGAAGGATTATTCGTAGTTTGGGAAAGATCATTTTCTACCTAAATGCACAATATATATATATATATATATATATATATATATATATATATATATATATATATATATATTGTGTATACTTGGATACTGAAGTCTTGTACTTATAATTACTGATATTAAAAGATTGCATATGTCCCCGCCAACGTTCCTTGAATGAATTCATAGTGTTATCAATGTAAAATTATTTAATATTTGGGTTTTCTAATGTAGAGAATGTACTCAGATAAACTACAGAATTAGTCAAACAATTATTCTGTAATGGACACTTATTTGGATTCCTACAATTGCAAAAGTTGTTATTCCTGCCATTATACTTAGTAGTACTGTTAGCAACCTGGTGAGTGGTCAAGTTTTTTGAATCCTTATACTTGTTAAAGACTCTGTTGTTATGTTTCTTAATTATTTTCTCTAGGTTATCCGCAGAACTATAGCTTAATTTAAGGATATTAGGATTGAATATTTTACTAAGTGGGTTAGTTTCGGGGTCGGGGAAATATTTCTTGATGCGGTTTAGAAATTTACGTCCTAGTCTAATTTTAACCATTTGATTGAAAGGAGGGGAGTAAACAAAATGATCTTTCTAGATCTTCTTTTCTTATTATGGTTATAATTAACAGGGTTTCTATATTGAATAGTGGTACCCTTGTATCCACTATTTCTAAGGGCAGAATTGTAAAAAATCACGATGATTATTAAAAACCTCTTTGTTAGAAGAGTTAGTATCAATCCTAAATACAATGGAGGAGAGTATGTGCTTGATAACCGAAGGTGGGGGGTTGGAATTTGGATGCATATACTTTTTATATATGGAGTTGGTATGCACACACACACACACACACACACACACATATATATATATATATATATATATATATATATATATATATATATATATATATGGGACGCACATATACTATATATATAGAATTGGGTTGCACATATACTATATATATATATATATATATATATATATGTATATATGTATATATATATATATATACACTATATGTACACACACACACACAGACATATATATATATATATATATATATATATATATATATATATATATATATATATTGTATAGGTGTAACAGATCATTGTTCAGGCATGTATTGTTAAATATAATAAAATAAGAAAAGAAATATTTAAACGTTGTACATTGTTGTCATTCTTTTCTCCTGAAATTAATGCCAATAGACAAAGCTTAGAACCGCTCCTCATAATGTATAATAGTCTGTTATATTTAACAATACATGTCTAATATATATATATATATATATATATATATATATATATATAGATAGATAGATAGATAGATATATAGATATAGATATAGATATGTGTGTGTGTGTGTGTGTTTGTGAGCGTTTGTTTCATTGAATAGAATCAGTATAA